TTCATTGTGAAGCAACAGAAAGATTTCTGTGAATGATTAAATAGCAAAGGGAATATTCCTTTGCTATGATGAAATAATCAGATAACAAAAGATACTGGGGAAAGCTACCTGGGCTAGCTTTAAACAAGCTAGTTTGGGTACCAGCAGCCAAGCGAAACAGAGTTCCACAAAGACTACATTTATCCAGCTTCTTGGCAGGCATATTAGCCCTGTCACAAGCCTGTCCATGAGAGATCTGAGTTACTCCTCACTGTGCTACCACACTCGCCAGGGCACAGACCAAGGTTGCCCTGAGATGGTTCCCTATCCCAACAACTCAATTCCTCTGCCCTTTACTGGATTCTGTAGCTGCAGTGAAGGATCTCTGCCTGCCCCAGGTAGCCCTCACAGTTGGGTAATGAAGAAATTATAGGTCCCTACCTCCATGGAGAGGGTAAGGCTAGAATATCACCTGCCCAGAAGTCACTCTTAAAGGCAACCAGTAAAGAGATAAACAGCAACATGATTTATAATAAAAATAAAACAAGCCCAAGAAACCAGCAACTGTCTGTTGAGATGCAGACAGATATGAGTAAGCAAACACGAGAAAATACCAAAACACTGACCTATTCTTACCCTACACCTTGGATCCTTAGCCAGCTTCAAGGGTCTTAATGCAGCCTCTGGCTCTGACCCTGCCTGTTGGAGCCTCCTGCATCCCCCCTGTTGGCTTGGTTTTCCCAGCCTCTTTGGCTGAGGGACCCAACCTCTCCTTTTTCCATGAGAAGACTGAAGATTAAGCCATGTTCTCTAGGCAGGCTTAAGTACCTTTTCCAGTCTGGCTATTAACATATGTCACCCCTTTATTTCTAGGGGAGGCTCACACTATGCCAGTAACTTCTTCACCCTGAAGGTGCATATTTACCAAACTATAATCTTGCATCCTTTTTACATACGTAGATTCATTAATTTGATACCCTGTCTCTCCTGTAGGATAGTTTGGCCAGCTAGGCATCAGACTTCTTTTAAAATGTAAATATATGATTGCCTGAACAGGCCTAGGGTGCCTCTTAGCACATCTGCAGGGGGACCAATAAACAAACCAAATCAAGTGCTAATTCTGAGCCATTGACCCTTTTAAGTGTGAACAATTGTGGGTTGTTCAAGTCAATTGCTGCCCTATTGATACATTAGCTGAAATATAAAGATACATCAAAATTGCATATATGTCAAATGCTAACATACACAGGTATGGGAACAATAAAACTGAACACAGCTTTGGACTGTTACAATTAGAAACTAGATCCAACAATAGCAAATCTGATATCTATCCATGCCACACGATTCCCAAAAGTACCTTTGTCTCAGGTGCTGTGACAAGCTCAAAGAAGTTCTGCGCTGCTTTGGCTATAGTGCTTCTGATACTTGAGCTAACTCATTTCAAACTAGGGCAGCTGTCTACGCTACACTGCAGCCATACAGTATCAATATATTCAGAGTAGATAGCTTGGTAAAACCAGCAAAAGCTGCCAGAGACTACTTTCTGCTGAAGTTCCCACTGGTGCAGCAGAAGTTGTAGGATCACCAGTATGGAGTTTGTCTTTTACACTGCAGACAAGTCACTGTACCTTTTTTGTTTTCCTACTCTTTGCTGTCTTGCATCTTTATATAGATGCTTATTAATGCTCTTTAGTACATCTCCAAAATGAAAACAGCAAGGAACATCAGGCTATGTTTACACTGAAAGTGCTCTACCAGCAAAGTCCTCCAAGTACAGATGCTTGGGGGAACAGCAAATCTACTTCCACCAAATGAAGCAAGCTGTACAATAAGTGTGCAGTTACTAGGGCTGTGCGAAACAGCACTGTTCCATTTTGACTTCCGTTTGGATTGGACAGTGTTTCATTTCGAGTTTTGTTTCGTTTCAAAACTGCTGTTCTGTTTTGTATAATCAAAATTGTTCCGCTGTTTCAATGTTTTGCCCATAGGCTATAATGGGGAACTACAAAACTGCTTATAACTTTGTCATTTCTTGCTTGATTTGGATGAAACTTGCAGAGGTGGTAGCCCCTTCTGAGGTCACAAAGCTTGCAAGAGATAGGTGCAGAGGTTGCTGGGAAACTGCACCTCAAAGTCTTGAAAGCAAAATTCATGGCACGTGTGTGTGTTAAGGCACAGCAGGGTGAAAACTGCAGGCATGGTAGTTCTTTCTGAGGCCATGAAGCCTGCCAAGTTTCAAGGAGATAGGTGCAGGGGTAACTGGGAAACTGCACTTCAAACGGTTAAGAGCAAAACTTGTGTCACTTGGAAGTGTGAAGGTGCAGAGAACTCAGTTCAAATGATGCTTTTTATGCAGTTTTTCCATCCCTCTCCCAGAGCACTGGGATTGGAAGGGACCTCAGGGAAGGATGACAGTCACTGGCCAGCTACATAGTCAATAAGTGAGCAGTCCTTCCTCCCTCTTCCCCCTCCCCCTCCATAGTTTCTCTTTAGCTGCAAGCAAGCCCAGCTTCAAAACTCAAAACGTTTTGAAACTTTTGAACATTTTGACTGCCCTTGTTTTGTTTCGAGGCTGTTTCAAAGCCTTTCGCTTCAATTTGATTTCATTGTTTTGAGCGTGAAACGAGTCGAAACAGTGTTGAAACAAAACAGCCAGCGAAATTTCACACAGCCCTAGCAGTTACCATATTTGCACAAGTGGGTTCTGCCAGCATAGTTATCCTGGTCAGCAATCACACACACATCTTCGTACCCCTAAATGACAGTCTTAGGACAAGAGAAATCTGTTATTTAAGCTACCTCATTTCAAGCTGAGTTAAATATCCTTATGGAGTCGAATGTTGATAACGAGGTCACTAGAACTGATCCATGAAAAGGCAAGGAAAAAGAAAAATAACTCAGCAAGGCATAGCAGATGGGTCATTTTCAAACAAGTTCTGCATGTGGCTGCAAGTGCAAGTGATCTTTCAGCTCTTGGCATGTCAAGAATTCAGCAGTACTTTCATAGCTGTATATTCCTGGTACTTAATAATGCTAGGCTGTAGGATACGTGAAGCCATTAGTATTTCTGGAGTAAAGTTCTTAGAGCCTTATTGGTCTAGTACGCTGTATTCAAGTACAGGCAGGTCCTGCCAAGTGCAGCATGGGGCATTCTAACATTTGTGAAACCTCCCTCAGTAAATAGAATTGAACTTACTTAGTCTTTACATCATAGATACCAATGTGCATGCCTCTCTGTCAAAGAGTTTTCCCTTCCCTTCCCTTCCTGGTTATTGGTAGGTGTGTTATTAAAACATTACATAATACTGTTACTATGCATTGTCTTCTTACATGTTGATAGAGCAGAAGGTCCTCACCTGCAGGAGTTTACAGCCTACAAACACATCATACAAAGAAGTGTGGAAGGATGAGCCATAAAATAAAGGAACTACATAGTTTTGCATTGTGCCTTATTATGTACAAGCCCAGTGGGTGGATCCAGGATTTTGTAAAGGGGGATGTAGGAGCAGCAACCACAACAGCAGGAAGGGCTGCCTGATACCCCCAGGTGTTTCCCCTCAGCCAGGGAGCAGGCACAGGAAGAGGTAACCCACCTGCTGCTGCTGTCCTGGGATAAGCACAGCTTCCTGCATAGTCTAACTGAAGCAGGATAAGAGTGCCTCTAGAGCTCCCCCGCACCCCAGGACAGCCAGAGACAGGAAAGACAACAGCAGCAGTAGACAGGGAAAGCCCAGGGAACTAGAGGGGAAGGGAGAGAGGGAGACAAGCCGCTGAGCACAGAATGGAAGGGAGAGGGGGAATCCTTACCTGATCCAGGAGCTTAAAACCCCCTCCTGTGGCTACCACAGCATAGTATGAAAGAGAGTGCAACCAAACCACTGCAACCCCCTCAATCCACCATGACAAACCCTGGGAAATTTTTCATTAGTTTTCTTTTCATGTTTAAATTGCAAGTTAAATTAAAAGACTGAGAAGCAAGACCCGAGAGCTGCATTGGTCAGTTAGAGGAGAAAAGCAGTCTGAAGATCACTTCTGCCTAAATTGCAGCAAGTCAGCTATGCGTGGACCATCCCACCCTCTATAACCTGTTACCATAGTCAGAGACCCCATCCCAAATTGGACCACCCACTACTCAAAGCAGAACACACACTTCAGGCCTTGCTTACAGTGGGGATCTGAACCAATACATAACCAGCTGCCAGTGCAAGCTCTTAGTTGCAGAAGCCACCACGTGCACTGGAGCAGTTTATCTCTGTATCAAGGAGGATATATAGATGTTTTGTCTTTCTCAGCTGCGGGCTTACACCAGTGACTATGTACCAATGGCTGAAACTGCTCTGTTAGACAAGTTTTAATGCTTTACATGGGGCTGTCCAACTTCTCAGCAGCAGAGGGATGCACCGATAGTGGCTTTGAGCCACATACCGTGCAGGCTGCTGGGATTGCTGCAGCAGGCAGTGCAGCACCCTGCCTCTCCCCTCCCCACCGTTCCCCAAACAGTCCTGTAGAACAGTGGTTCTCAACCTTTTTCATTCTGGGACCCATTTTCCAAGATTGATGGCTTGTCCCGACCCACAGCCCCCTGGCCCTGCTGGTGCCCGACTCAAAGTCCCCAGCCAGTGCTCCTCACCCCCAAGCCACAGCCCCCTGCACACACACCCCCAGGCCATGCTGGTGCCCCTCAATCCTGATCCACAGTCCCCTGCCACCCCAGCCAGAGGGAGGCCCCAGCTGCCCCCATCCCACTTGAGCTGGAACCCCAGCAGCAAGTGCAGGTCCCTGAGTGTATGGGTGCCGGCCCAGCACCACCTGCCCAGGCATGCAGCTCCCTGCTGCAAAGGACCACCACCACCTCCTTCCCCTGCTGAAGGGCCAGGCACCTTCTCCTTACTGCTCCCCCTGCCCTGCTGCAGCCCTGTATCTGGCCACCAGCACCAGCACCCCTACATGCACACAGATTCCCGCCCCCAGTCCTCTGGACAGTCCCCTGGACTTCCACCTCCTGCTGCCCATACACTTACCTGCATCCAGCAGCTGGGGCTGCTCCCACAACCTGAACTCACTGTATGCTGGCCAGGTGTATCTGTGGTTGCAGATACATGTGTGCACACTGCCTCCAATTGTCCCAAGCAGTACATGCAGGCTGGAATGCTGTCAGCCTGCAAGGGGAAACCTGCACATTTGCAGGTTTTCCTGGGACTTCCTCATGACCCTTTCAAATATTCATGTGACCCACTTTTGGGTTGCAACCCATTAGCTGAAAAATGCTGCTATACGGGCTGAAACAGGAAAGAGCTTTCCTCATTCCACCCAAACACAAATAAAATAAAAGCCACCAACCCTCAGAAACACGAAGAAAGGAGCATGGATGATCATAAAGTCAGAAGGGAATGGAGAGATGCAAATGATTTGTCAGGAAAAGCAGCTCATGAGAGAAAAATCTCAAAGTGGGAAGGAAAGGAAACAAAGTTTTTAAAAAGACACGCCACCATTTCAGTTGGCTGTTTACAGGTTTGTCAATGTGTTTTAGGAAAGGCACTGCATAGCATAAACTGCACTCATGAGGTTGATTGCAGTGTGGTAGCGATGTGTCCAAATAACCAAGGGTGTCTATACATGTGTTCTGAGTGGGAGGTGGAGGTGCTTTAATTACAGTGGCTCTGAGAGCTGCTCTTATTAAAGCACCCACAGCTTCATGTGCATGCAGTGTCCCATGGTTCAAAATGGCAATGGGGGCACTTGAACTAAAGCTCATTCAATAAGCTTTAATGGAAAAACCCCCACTGCCATTTTGAAGTGCAGGTACCTGAACAGATGTGACATGGAGGCTGGTGGAGTGATTAATCGAGTCTGCTCCGATGTCCAGCACATGTATAGGTGCCCCAAGGTTTTAATACTGCTTCCAGCACCATGGTACCTAAGTACCTTAATAAAGATCAAGTTATAACAGGTCAATCAATACTCTTAGCTTCATCCAGTGCCTATTAGGTACCTTACAATTGTGATTGTGCCCCATTGTTATTTGTGTTATTAACAGATCTCTGCTGTTACTCCTGCTTTTTCACTATTCATCATCTGCTTGAATCCAGTGTCAGCAGAAGCCCCAAAAGGTAAATAAGAGAAGGTCTAGAGAACCATCACCCTCACCATCCCCTCTAGCCTACTAAGTTTTTGCATCCACTGCAAAGCACTTGAGGATCACTCAGGGCAGGCATCCCTGAATCAGACCCCAGACAGTTTTTTTAACCCATGTGCCTTGTGTTCCAACACCTTGAGTATGAGTAAAGAAGGATCATAGATACATGGAACACTTTCCAGTAGAATTTTTGTGAATAAAGCCTCTTTCAAGTTATTCTGACACAATAAGAGGAAGTGCCTTTGCCATGTTGAAACTGGAACACATTTGGAATCAGTAAAGGTTTTAGAAGTACAATATTTTAAAAGGAATAGATGTTTCATGTTAAGATAAATTAGAATTGAAAAACAAATCCACTGTGCACTATGAAGCAAGAAACATTTCAGCCCCAAAGGACATTTTCGTAAAGGAATGTAAAATAATAGGCTTTTCAACCTAGGCCTATGTTATATTATATAAATGCACAATAACGATATTAATGTCATCAGCTGCACTTGATCCTCATAAAACACTGCTCCCAGACATTTATTTCCTGTACCTTTAAGGAGAGGATAAAGCCAGCAAAATGCAGGATTTGACTACTGGGATTTTTTTAATGAAAGAGAATGCCCTCCCTCCCCCCACAACACAGCCTTACAATATAATAACCATCCATCAAGGAAAATAAATGTTATCACTCTGTGACTTACATGAACGCAATTTATGTAGACCAAAAGTTCAGGAAGGCCTTCAGAGTCCTGGCCTGATGCCAATACACACAGCTTGATGTCCCAGCTATATTGTCACTCCCCATAGAAGAAACAGGAAGCGTGTTAACTCAGTATGTCAGGGAGAGAATGGCTGTTTTACATTTTGCTTCTCATAGATTAAAGACAGTATTTTAATCCCTTTTCATACTTCGATAGTTAGATTTTTTTTGAAATCTCTTTACATAAACGACCTTTTACACAGAACTATTTTCTAATAGAAATGCTGCATTGCAAACACACCAGACTTTAGGCATGGATAAGAAAAATCACTCCCCATGTTCCTTTCATGTATTTCCTGAGAGAACAGCAACAATACCTATATTTTGGAAGTGCTTATATTCCCTCATCAAAGGGCTTCCTTTTTTTTCTTCCCTCAGTTGAGTATCACCTGCTTATCAGTTACAGAAGAGAGAGTTGTTGCTCAAGTTATCCCTATGACATCACTTTTTAACTTATCTCTTATCAGGCTCCTGTCAGAACATGACATTTTTAGTTAATAAAAAAGCAAGGAAAAAAGCTTCCTCCAACTTTCCTATGGAAAAGTTTCCTTAAAACAAGCTAAACTAGCCGTTAGTGCTATTCCATGAAGTTGGTGGGGGTGGGGGAGAGGGATGAAGGAGCTACACAGACCAAGCTGGTAATTTGTAGACGTTTAAAAGAAAGTGAAGTACTGTACCAACATCTGCTGCTTCTAGCACTACTACCACTCTATCATTCTAGAGTGACTGTCAGGCATGGAAAAGTGTATGCCATCATTGTCATTTATATGATAAGCTACCTGAGGAGATGGCAACAGAAGAAAATAAAACTAGAAAATGTCAGAACAAGGAGGAGCTGTTCAAGAAGAAATACACTTATCAAACCAGTACAATAGACCTTCAATGACTTGGGCTTCTTGTTTATGATTAACTTCTACAGTTACTGCTTCAGCTGTAGGTTATGCTAGAGAAGGGCAATTAGCCAAGTCAGACAGAAGGTAGTTTGCTATTAATCTTTCCTAGTATGATGCATAAACTTTTTCACGTCTAAAACTCACTCACTCAACACAGTGCCACCCAGCCCCACCTTCTGTAAATCATACTGGAAGAGTTAATAATATGGGAGAAGAACCTGAGTGCTGATATAGTTACACCAAACAAGATCTAGATAATGCTTGAAAAAGCTCTTTTCTATTTTTCCACCACTAGATTTTCAACTTCCTGGAGCCTTTCCAGGGTGTATGAACCGCCCTCCCTGCCTCCTTCCCACCCCATGTGCCTGCCCCCCTCCTTTCTGCCCTGCAGCCTTACCCTGCTGCCAGCTCCCCCACCACACACCATCCCATGCCAAACCCTAGTGCCTTCCCCCTTGCCTCTACCCCCACTGCCACACCTGTGCCTGAACCCCTGGGGCCTGTTCCCCCGCTGCCTGTTTCCCCTCCTGCGCCTTCCTATTCACCACATGCCCTGCCTTCCCCTTGCCATCCTATGCCTGTGCCTGCCCTTTCTAGCTGCTCCAGCTCTGGGGCAATCAGCAGTGGCTGCCCTGACCCAGCCTCACTATGCAGAGACAGAGGCAGCAGCTGCAGCAGCAGCAACAACTCTGGGCCAAGCTGAAGGTAAGTGCACCAAGCCACACACTGGGTCTCTTCTGTGCACCCCGCTGTCATAACCCTGTCCCCTGCCTCGCTAGCCAGCCCAGATTGGATTAGTACTCAAATCTAGAATGAAGCTTCCCTCCTGCCTGCATCACATTGCTTGAGTGGGAACTTTGCCTTGGATTCAAACACACATAATTAAGGGTCATGTTCAACTTCTGTCCTGAAGTTTGTGTTGTCTTATGCATTCTATGTCTGCATCAGATGGCACTGTTTGGCATCAGAAAGGTGGAAAAACTGAAGAAAAATAAAAATCTGGCATAGGGCAAAAAGGCCCTATGCCAGAGATTGCACAAATATTCAAATACTGGAATCTAATGATTTGTATTCATTGGTTTCCAAGTAGCTCAAATCTGCTTATCCACAGTAAATATAGTATTAAAAAAAGACACAAATATGTGACCATAGAGATTTAGAGAACTTCAATATTGACTTATTGCATCAACTCCATAGTGGGTGCATCAGTGGGAATGCTACTGCCACCCCCGTCACAGCACAGTTTGGCTTCTGCCTCTTCAAAGCCCCTTGGCAATATTAACTACTTACTAATTGCAGTGCTGCTGAGCAGGCCTGTTGGACAGAGCTAGAAGCTAACAGCTGGGACTCCTGGTTCCAAGACTGGCCCACTGCATCTTTGATATAAATCAAGGAGGGACAAACTTTAAAGAGTTGATTTTGCATTTGGGTGGCAAGTCTTGAGGAGTCCAGCCTCAGATGGAATCTATTTGCAGCTGTAAACAGGGCCGAGCACCTGCAGCTCCCACTGATTTCACTTGGACTTGTCTGGATTCCCAGTGTCTGAAAGTGGGCACCCAGAAAAACAGAAATGACTTTGAAAAGTGGCCTCTGGCTTCTCTGTGCCAGAGCCAGGTGGTGCTCGGGTCCCTGGGTTTCTGACTGCACCAAGGGAGAACAAAACCCCAGGGGCCAAAGAGGGACACAGAAAACCCCCCCAACCCCAGGCCGGGTGTTTTGCTCCCAGGGGAGGTTTCAGTCCAGGGCTCCAGCTCTGAGGGCCAACCTGGAGCCCAGGGCAGGGAGTGCAGACACCTCTCCCCTCTGCTTCCTCTCCCAGCTGCAGGGCAGGAGCAGTCACAGCCTCCCTGCAGCCTGCTGGAGCAGCTGGGGCTGGTGGGGCTGAGCACAGCTGGTGACAAGAGGTGGGAAGAGGGAAGGCTTGGATCCTACAAGTTGCCACAGCACTGAGGGACGCAATGTGCTCACACTTACTGGGATCTCTGCATGTATCAGGCCAGGGAGCTGGACCTCAGAGGTGAAAGATCCCACAGACAGTACCTGCATAGAAATAGTAATGGGAGCTGCCATCTGAAACCTGAGCCTGGTCCAGCCTGATGAAGGCTTCAGCCTCCTCTGGTAAGTAGTGGGGGGAAAAACCCTCAGGGAAAATGGAAAGTAATGACTAGGTAAACAGGCAGAAGGATGTGCTAAACCAAACGAAAGCCACTTCTTTGCAGTGAAGCCCTTATGCGAGTCCAGAGAAAATTTCATAAGGATTTAGAGCACTAATAAATTCTCCTGTCTTTTTATTGCATGTTACAGATTACACACCTATTCAATGGTGGCTTTTTCTAACACACACAAAGCGGGAGATCCATTCTTCACCTATGTGTGCAAAACTGTCCATGTGGCAGGGGCCGCTGAGTGAATTATCTGTACTGAAGACCACGAATGTAGATATTTCTATTTGGAGTTGATGTCACTGTGTGCTCTGTCCATTTTGAAGGCAGGAATTTCCCAATCATTCTCACTGAACCA